CGACTGATCTGCCTCGCCCGGGAAGAGCGCAATGATGGTGCCAACTTGGGCCAGTGAAGCAACGTCCTCCACAACTAGACTGAAGAACAAAAAAGGAGAGCAACTTGTCTGTTCCCCTTCCCCCAATTCCCCAGCACTGTTCCCATCCCCCAATTCTCCAATAAAAATCTTTAAAAGAAAAAAGAGTTTCTGTGGGATAAAGGATCTACGCAGGTGTTTATTTTGCCAGCTACTGCCAAATTACACCAAACTATCCTACCCAGCAACAGTGCTGGAGGGCTACTTCACTGTATCACCAAGGAATTATCAGTGTTGTCATCTCTGTCAACAAGGAGATGAGAAACAGCGGACAAGTGTGGTGGGTTTTGTTTGTTTTTGTCTTTTTATCATTAGTAAGCCTGACTATCTCTTCAAATTAAAGAGTCCATCTGCACTTCTTTTTCTGTGAATTTTGTTTGCTCAAATCCTCTACCCATCTTTCTTCCAGACTGAGCTTTTCTTATTTGTGGAAGTTCTTTAGATGTTGAGGAAAGCCATCCTTTGCGATGTTATTATTATTTTCCCCAATTTGATGCCAATCTTTTGATTTTGATTATGGTACTTTTTTATTTTTAAGGATATGTATTTTTTTAATTGGGGAACAGTGTGTTTTTCCAGGACCCATCATCTCGAAGTCAAATAGTTGTTTCAAGCTAGTTGTGGAGGGCGCAGTTCAGTGGCCCATGTGGGGATCGAGCACTTGGTGTTACAAGCACTGTGCTCTAACCAACCGAGCTAACCAGCCACCCTGATTATGGTACTTTTTAACAGCAGTTTTATTTTTAAGTAGCTGAATTTATCAGTATTTTCTTTCATGGCTTTGGGATTTTGACATACTCAGAAATATCTTCACCACTCAGAGATTATAAAATAATTCTGTACTTTCTTCTAGCACTCATATTGTTTCATCAAAAATATTTTTTCAAATATCAGATCCACCACTTTACCGTAAGGAGTGAGGTAGGGACATACATATATGTTTCCCTCCCAAATAGCCACCCAGTTGCCCAGACATCATTTACAAAGAGGCCCTCTACTGTATGCTGATACACGCAAGGCCACCTTTGTCACACAGGAAATTCTGAGTCTGTGACTTTTACTCAGCATTTCTAACTTGAATGGCCCCAATCCTCTGCCCTCCTCCCAGTCCTAACTCTGCACCCAAGCTTACCTTTTCAGTAATGAAACCACCTTCTGGCCAGTTGCTCAGACACCTGGCATTACCCTCTTTTCTCTCGCAGGCCACTTCCAATCAATCCACTGACAAAGCCTGTCGTGATGCTGTCAAAACAGGTGCAGGGCATCCCAAATCTCACCTCTCACAACCACCTCTGCCACCCAGGCTGGAGTCACACCATCTCAGTGTGGATGTCGCAATATCCTCCCCTCCCAGCCTCCATTCTTAGCTCCTGTTCCCTCCTCTGCCCCTTCCGCATTCATTCCCTACACTAAACACAAAGGAATGCTCTTTTAAAAACACAAAGCCATTATCAAAGTCCCGTCTAAAATCCTTCAATGGCTTCCCTGGCACTTAGAATCAAGCCTGGATTCCTTACGTGAACCTACCAGATCGGAAGGACTACCTTCCCAGCGCTTTGCATGCCACCCGCACCCAGATACCCTCACTCACCTCCTGTCACACTGGCCTTCTGTGGGTTCCTAAAATGAGTCGAGGGCTCTGTGCCTTTGGGCCATTGTGCTTGCTGTTCCCTCTGCCCATAACAACTCCAGAGCTGGCTGCTTTTCATCCCGGAGTCTTGGCTTAAGTGTGTGTCACCTGTACAGGCCTTCCTGTGCCACCCTAAATTGTCACCACGTCCTACTCTCACGTCATTATTCACTTCAAGAGGTACTTTTTCCTAGTTCTGATTGTATTACAGTAGCCAGTCCAGGTCAATACATACTTGAATGAAAGAGGATGAATGCTTCACACAGTCTAAGCCCCCTGCCCCTTAAAACCTGGTAAAACTGTTCACAAAAGGACAAGCATGATAAAGGAGGGCGTCCTAGAGGAAATGACTGGACAGGCAGAGCTGGATGGGCGGGGTCGGGGTCGGGGNACTAAGTTCTCTCCAAAGCAGCTTAAAAGAGCAACATTTTCCAAGCCTTAATTCAGTGTTCTGGTTCTGTTTAGACCAAGTCAGAGAACTTAAAATTTGAGAGTTTCTGTTTAAACCCTGGTCAAAGTCCTGATTCCATAACTAACTAACTATACTCTACACAAGAAGTTAAAAACAAAGGTAAAAATAATACAAAAAATCCTAATGTCTCAATCCAAGAAGTTTGTTATTAACTCTATCTAAACATCTTTAGTAACAGTAATTCTGGAACCATTATAATAAATGCAGCACATCACTTATCAGTTATGTAATTTACACCAATTAAGAAATCATAAGGGCCGGCTGAGTGGCTCAGTTGGTTAAGAGCTCGCTCAAGAGTTTGAGCTCTGAGCAACAGCAGTTCGAGTCCTGGCCCAAGCAACTTGTCTGTTCCCCTTCCCCCGATTCCCCAGCACTGTTCCCATCCCCCAATTCCCCAATAAAAATCTTTAAAAAAAAAAAAAGAAATCATAGTACTTACCTTTACATATATAATAAGGTCCTTCATAATTTGTTTTTGTTGGTCTTGGTCGTATTTTTTTCCATGATTTATCTTCAACATTCTTTATCCTACCAATTAAAATATCTTTCTTACATTTATGATCTATATTAGGATTGTAAGTGAAATCCATTAACTTAGGGCCTGAAAAAGATGTAAAAAAGATTGCTCATATGCACAAAAAGTATCATTCCATTTACAGGCACATTTACAAGCAGATGTGAACAGATGGATATTGATTACGAAATCCACAAAAATCTCATTTTCATAACCCCAAAGTGTAAATAAGCTACCAAAGCAATTTTTGCCTTTTATGCTGTTTGTTAGAAACAGAAACTTCTACAACAACAGTCTTCCAAAAACATCCTCTTATTTAACTATTAGGATAAGAATTCTGATGGCTTATCAAGGTAAAGAACTCTATTAAATATATAACTAAGAAAGAAAATGAATTGGGGGATAAATTGTTTCAACAGAATAAATTCAGAATACATTGTGTTTATATTAATTAATATCACTTGACTTAAGGGCAAATATAAGAAAAAAACCAAAAGAAAGTACTTTAATTTCCACAGACATTATATCATATACTGGTCTTATATTGCTATTTTTTAGTTCTTGCTCTATTTGAAAATGACCAACTCCTTAAACATATACCTAGAACATAAAAAATTTCATGAAAATCTCGATAAACTTTCAAAATCTGGTAAATATTCTATTCCACATAACTCTACAAATAAAAGTATATCAAATAAGAGCAGAGACTTATCCTATTAGATCCCAAAGGCCCTAAATTAATAATCGTGGCTTCTTTAGAAAGAACTCAAATAGGGGTTGAAAAGTCACAATAGCGGATGTTTGCCACAGGTATTTACAAATTCCTAAGAACTCTCAGGTTATTGGCTAGTTCAATGCTGTGTGAGGCTTTGTTTGGTCCTGACCTGATTTTACAAAACAGATTTGGCAAGCTTGTCTCAATTCATGGGTTCCTTCAAGGGGGTGTCTTGGGGTCACTGATGAAGGTGGTTTTGTAACTACACTTCCAAAAAAGTTCCCAAAGTCATTTCGAGGGTGACTTGAAATTCCCAGGAAACTCTCAGAAGCAAACAAACTGCTCGGTCCATTCATCTGCAAGAAGAAACAAAAAACAAAAAACAGCCAACAAATATTGCACTATCACCAAAGGAGGAAACCAATTAATCTGAAAATAAGACATTCTTCATAGACTGAAGTCGCAACTATTCTGTCCTTAATGAGCTTCTATTTAAAAACTGTTTCTTTCTATATTTTCCTCTCTTTGGGTCTCTAGGCCCCTCTCCCACTTTTCCTGATCCTTCCTGAGTTGTTCAAAGTAATAGGTAATTGTTCTACTCCCTAACTCACACATTTTATATTCCCTGATCTTACACAGTTGACCCTTGAACAACGTGGGGGTTTAAGGGCACCGACCCCCACAGAGTCGAAAATCTAAATATAACTTTTGGCTCCCCGAAGACTTCTGTTGTCCTTCAGTATCCTTGAAGGGTTGATTCCAGAAACCCTGCGGATACCCAAATCCCCCTATACAGAATGGCATATAGATCAGCACAAACAGTCAGCCCTCCGCATCTGCAGGCTCCCAACCTCGGATCGAAAACGGTAGGTATTTATTGAAAACGATCGCGTGTAAGTGGACCCTCGAATTTCAAACCCATGTGGTTCAAGGGTCAACTGTGTTTCCTTGTTTTGTTTAAGCTGTACTCAAGCCTCCTAGGCTGCCTGTGATGGCGATTAATTTGTTATGACAGATCCAGTCTTAAGCACAGAGCACTTATTACAGGATATTCCAAAAGAGTCTTATTTTAACACTACTTCTCACAGCACACACACAATTTCAGGGAGACTGTTATGTTCATTCAAAATTACTTAGGTAAAAGACCTATTTTCAATTTAAGCGATGTATTTACAAAAGAGGAAGTGGCACTTACAAGCAAAAGGGAAGAATTACTGTTGTTAAGCGATGTTCCCTCTCTAGAAGTTGAGGTGGACAGATCTAAAATAATAAAAAAACTTCAACAGACCTTTTCATTCTAATCATGTAATAAGAACATCAGGGCTTAGCAGCTGACGATGGCTTCCCCACATAATTTTTCCATCCCCATTCCTAGGAGTTTTCTTGCTCGTGAGTGACACTCAAAGAAGGCTATGGAGTTTGCCCTTTCCTCTAGAAACCAAGGGCATAAAAAAAACCCTTAGACAAAAAAACATAAGTAAAAAGCTATTTTCAGAGCTAGAAGCTGAGGCAGGGCCTACCAAGTGAGACTGTTAAAAAGACTAAGAAAATCATTCACATTCAAAATGGGAAAAGAGTCTCTCCTTTTGAAAATATGAAGCAGGAACTCACCATAATATTAATAAAGTTAGTAAGGTTCAATTCCTTTCTTTTTCTTAATCTACCACTCAATTATTTTCTCTCTGCCCTTCTGTCTCCTACAAATTTGTTTCTTCAGCTGTCCATCTTTAAATCAATTACGTATTTTGATTTTTGTCCCTTTAACTATATAACAATGCCCCAGAAATATGAAGATTTTTATTATTATTATTGAAAGTATATATTAAATCAAGGATTACAGAAACAGGAATCAGACCAAAAACTCCACAATTCCTTGTAAAAGTAAGGCATAGCTGACTAAGCTGAACGGATGCAGCCTATAATAGACAGATCTAATTGTTATCATTCTGAACATTGATCTTAAATTACTCTTAAATAAGCATTTGCTTAGTTAAGAATTTAAAAGGGTAAACTGTCTAAGATCCTTCAAGATGAGGTACACCTTTCTTGGAAAAAATGTTTAAAGTCAGTCACCCCACGAAACAACAGACGCCCAGTTTAACAAACTACCTATGAAAAAGCCAGTGCCACCTACATGCCTATTCTCACTCCTTTGCTTCGTGATTTCCAGAATTAAGTCCAGGTGAATTTAAAACTAAAGGTTTTGTTTTTATATTTTCAACTACGATGAAAATAATTCAAGTACTGACTACTCAGTTAGTGAAATAACTGCCAAACATAAATCGACATGTTTAGAAAATGAACTGTAATTGTTTACACAAATAGCTCAATTCTTACCTCGTTTGGATTCACTCATTGAGAACGAATTTAAAGAAGAACAGAAATCTTCTAAGGATGAGGTCAAAGGTGGATACAACTCTGAGAAGGAGGGTGGAGGGGCATACCTCGCACCAATAGGCAAGGTGCCCAACAGAGACGCCGAAAAGGGCATGCTAGGGGTGACACTGGCTGTCGGAAGGGGTCCTCTGACTAAAGCTGATGGCTGGAAAGGAAAAAAGATTTGATGACAATCCATAAGCTCAATTCCAAGTTGGCTGAGCTGCTTTTAACATCACAACAAATATTAGGTCGGTGCAAAAGTAACTGTGGTTTTTGCCAAACCGCAATTACTTCTGTACCGACCTAATACAAAAATAAAGCTATACTCGGTAATTGCGCTACATAACAAAGTTGAAATCAAAATCAAGATTCAGTAGAAGAACCTAAGCTACAGAGCTTGTTTCTTTTCAAGCCCACGTTTTACAAAGGCTCGGGGACTGAGACGTCCTTACTCCATATAAAGCTTATTTTTCCTTAAATATCGAATACCTATTCTTTGTCCAAATGTTCAATTTACCCTTTCCATTCATGTGATTCCAATAGGAATTGAAGAAAAATTGGCTAATTACTAGATAGAATGCTTGGTTTTTTTTTTCAAAAATGACCAAATTAGCCAGATACCAACAAAGAAGGATAAAAGTCATTTTCAAGATAAGAAACACCAAGTTTTTATAGGCAATAATGAACATATGTAACAGGTTATATTACTAATTTTTTTTTTTAATTAAGCCTGCCTTCACAAGAAAGGAGTAACACTAAAATTTACCATAACACTTTCATTAGTTTCAGGCGCAGAGTCAAGTAGTTCATCTATGTCATCTCCAAGGACCATATCTCCATCATCTAAAAACGCTTCCGGCATCGTGAAGGGGATCTTGCCTCCATTTGCCAACACTGTCGATGGCAGGGGGCTCTCTTCCACTTGCAGTGGCAAAATAGAAGTTAAGTGCATAATTGGAACTGAGGCCAGCTCACTTGCAACTTGGTGAGAAAAACTGGATGCGGGTATAGCAACAACTGGAGGTGCTTCTTGCCTTGGCGTTAATAAATCTGTAACATGGATGGAAACAGACTCGCTCATTTTCAGTGTACTTACGTAATACTAGTGTTAATAGATGATAATAGAGGAAGTGAAAAGCTAAGTGAAAATATGAAAGCAATTATAAAAACAAATAAATAGGCAGACACTATAGTAAAAGCAATTCAAATAAAAGAGTGAAAGTAATTCTAAAAATAATTTCTTTTACCCAGGAATACATATATTCACTTGCGAAAATATTTCCTTCTTTCTCAAAAATCTCTGGGCCCCTTTTGGGTAGAGCTATTAGACAATGGGAAGGCCACAGCGGGTGTTCCATGATTGCTTACTGATCACTCACCAGCACATTAAGAAGCACAAAGATGGTTTTCGAAATTATTCTTGCTTTAACACTAACCACACAGTAATCTTATTTGACAACATCATAATGTATATAATGCCTAAAACTGGCACTTTTCAGATTCAGATGGCATGGAGACACATACCTGGCTCAATATCTTCCACAGAACAGTTCAAAGCCTAGAAATTAAACCAAATAATGAATCGTTATATTTTCAGAATGCTAAACTATAAAACTCACTCTAAGACAGCAATGCAGTTTTCACAGAAATTTGACTCCTTTCCAATAAAAAGACCCAAGAGATCAATGGAACGTGTAAACCTTTGTAATAAGTGGTGTTAACTAGTGCTAGACCATCAGTATCACCACTTGTTTCATGGGGACCAGTCCTTCTCAAAGGATTAGGAGCATACTGGTTCCGGGGGCGGCTAACCTGACCTCCACTCACTCCCCAACTCACAATGGCCACTAGCATCCTAACAGCTCCAAAACTTACCTTTGAAAACACCACAACTTGTGAATTGTGTTTATCCCAGTGACTCCCCCAAATTAGTATCTGGTCCTGAACCACATTTTCTAACAAAACTTAACATCTATGAACATTCGGTAAAATATTCCGTCTGACCAGGAAATGCTGGTTAAAAGATGTTACTTAAGTTGTTTGTTTTCTTTTTATAGGACAGGAAGTTCTAGCCAATTATGTGTGTGTGAGGAATAAAATAAGGTCTCAAAAATAGACACAAAAGCAGATTAGCTTTTCTTTTTTTATGATTCTTACAGAGGTAATAACTTTACCTTGACAGCCCCATTCCCAGGAACTGCTTTTAATGAGAGCTGAAAGGAAATAAACACGCGAACTTAAAACCAGAACTGACTCCAAGTTACACAAGAAAATGAAAATACCTTACAGAGAGGGCTCCGGCTTACCTCAGCTCTAACATATGCTTTTCTTATTTTAAATCCCAATTTCTGAGCTAGCTCTTGGGTTAGTTTTATTACATGTTCATCCTGAAAAAGTGAGAAGATACGATTAATGGAGGGTTACATTTACTAACTGTGAGGAAGAGTAGGCAAGACAGTTATTGTCTGTCAAGACAGTTGCTTTATGAGCAATTAGCCAGGCTGTCAGCTGGCTGGAAAATTTAACTCTTTAGATGCCATATATCCACATGGAAGCAATGCATGGTCCTGATGTAAACAAATGCAAACAAATGCACTAAAATACAAATTCCATACCTGAGGCACTGCTAAGGAGCACTTTGCTACGGCATCATAAGCCTCTTTGTATCTTCCTAAATCGCTCAGAGCCTTAGCTTTCCGATACAGAGCTTTGCAGTTACTGGCATTTAAACCGAGGACTTTCTCGCAATCTTCGACAACTTTATCATGGAAACCCTGGCGTGTGAGACCAAAACACAGTTAGCAATAAACAACTCATTTCTTGCACTGATGTCGTCCTGTAAATGCAAACACATTAAGGCCTCAGACTATTACCCTCCTTTTCAACTCAAGGTTAGCAGTATTATTTTTCTTCTTAAAATCATTCTCACAATGAAATTTCACATACACAAAAGGAGAAAAAAATCTCATGAATACCCATGTACCCTCCACCCAGATCAGACAAATGTAAACATCTGGCCATAAAGGCCTTGGATCTTTAAGAAATGAAACTTTCCGGACATGGCGGACGCCCATGAGTGTCCCTCTCCTGTCCCGGCCTCTTTCCCTCCTTAGCTACCCCTTGGTGTAGCTCATTAAAATGTCAAATGGAAATGCAGCTCCCACACAGCTAAGTGATGAAGAACACATAATAGAACACAAAATAAATCATCCATGAGTGCTCATTAACAAAGAACTAGAGCTAAGGGGGGAAAAAAAAAACACACAAAGAACTAGGTGACAACACAGATACCTTTCTTAAATTCATGGTCACGTTTTACTGAATGTCCCGTAGGGAAAATGACAGGCACATCAAAATATTGCATGTTAAACTTAGATATGTGAAAGCCTGTGTTAGTTCTTTTGAAGGCTAACTACTATTTTGTGCTAAAAAAAGCTCCCGAGAAAATGAACAGAATCTTGACTAAGAAATGAACCATCGGGCCGGCCAAGTAGCGCATTGGTTAGGAGCTGGCTTGGGATGCCAGAGGGCCCCGGTTCGGATCCCACATATGAGGGCCACTGACACTGCCCTCTACAGCTAAGATGCTGAACAACAGCTCAA